TCAGGAATGGTTTATACAACTGAACATGCGGTCTTTTTGTGTGTGTGTGCTGCTGCTTTTTGTTTCTGATTTCTTTTTTTTTAATATAAGTTTTTTAATATAAGTCTTTATTTATTCATTTTTGGCTGCATTGGGTCTTCGTTGCTGCATGCGGGCTTTCTCTAGTTGCGGCGAATGGGGGCTACTCTTCGTTGCGGTGCGCGGGCTTCTCATTGCGGTGGCTTCTCTTGTTGCGGAGCACAGGCTCTAGGCATGTGGGCTCAGTAGTTGTGGTTCACGGGCTTAGTTGCTCCATGGCATGTGGGATCTTCTTCTTGGACCAAGGCTCGAACCCGTGTCCCCTGCGCTGGCAGGCGGATTCTTAACCACTGCGCCACCAGGGAAGTCCCTGATTTCTTCTTCTTTTTGATTGTACTGTCTCTCCTCTCTACTGCCATTGTCTCCAATTTTTTTTTTTTTTTTTTGTGGCCACGCCGTGCGGCATGTGAGATTTTAGTTCCCCAACCAGGAATCCAACCTGTGGCCCCTGCAGTGGAAGCATGGAGTCTTAAGCACTGGACCGCCAGGGAAGTCCATGTCTCCAATTTTTTTCTAGAATGTTCCTGCAGCTGGCCATGGCATATTGCCAGAAATCTCGAGATCCACTTCAGAATGAGAAAGGTTGGGGGAAATAGCATGCTAGTGAAGTCGCTTGGGTGCAGTCATTGTGAACTCCTACAGCTTTTTATTCAGACAGAGAGAACTGTCAGGAGAGCCAGAGGACAGCGGTGTGGTATAGAGACGAGTGCCGGGAGTTCTGGCTTCCCCATCCAGGTGTCCCGGGACTGGCACCATCTGCACGTGAGCCCCCTTCCATAACAGGAAAATGGGGTAATCCTTGTCCTGCCTACACTCTGTCTGGGAATTTTGGTTCCCGTTCTGTTTCTTGGGGTGAAATGGCGTCATGGTGTGATCGGCTGATCTGTCGTTTATCCCAGGGTTGTGTACTGGAGATAGAGGCTGAAGAGGGGGTGGGTCTTAGTGTCCAGGGAAGCTGGGTGGCGCGTGTAGGGTGAGAATTGGGGCTTTTTTTTTTAGCTCAGTCTCTTTTGCTGTTTGGCCAGAGAAAGCACTTCAGTGGGGTTCCTGTCCAGGCCTAAGCATGAATCTTGGGGACCCTGCGTATTTCTGGCACCTGGTAGAATATGACCCTGGCTCCTGACCCAGCACAGGCATTCCCCATAAAACACTTATTCCACCCTGGAATAGGTTTGTTGCAGGCCCTAAGTGTGGGTTCAGAAGGGGCTCTGGGACTTCCCTGGCTGTCCAGTGGTTAAGACTGCGCTTCCAGTGCAGGGGCATGGGTTCGATCCCTGGTCAGGGGACGAAGATCCCACATTCTGTGCAGTGCAGCCAAAATCCAAAGAAAATTAAAAAAAAAGGGGGGGGGCTCTGTTCTGAGGCCACGCTCGTGCTGGCACAGGGCTTAGTGAGTCGCTGGGTCGTGTTCAGAGACAACCCTGCCTAAACCACTGTCTACTTTCCACTCCCACCCCCTCCTTGATTCCCACCAGCTGCAATGATACAGCTTTTCTGAGCAGCATCACCCCCGCTGGCCCCAGGTGCGCGGTGACCACAGAATTTTTTTTAAGCGATTCTCGAAATGACACATCCCTGGGAGCTCTGAGTGCCATTTATCACTGTGTACTAGCTTCCCGTTGCTGTTGCAACAAATTACCAGAGACTCAGTGGCTTAGAATAGTACACATTTAGTATCTGACAGTTCCTGGAGGGCAGAAATCCAAAGTGGGTCTCTCTGGGCTTAAAATCAAGGTGTGGGCAGGCCTGCGTCCCTTCCAGTGGCTCTAGGGGAGAATCACCTCCTTGCCTTTCCCAGCGTCTAGTGGCCGGCTGCATTCCTTGGCTCATGACCCCCACCCCTCCAACCAGCATCGCAGTCACTCCAGCCTCTGCTTTCATTGTCCCATCTCCTTCTCTGCCCCTCCTGTCTCCGTCTTTCCCTTACAAGGACACTGCGATGACATTAGCTCCCCTGGATCATCCAGGGCAGCCCCCCACCTCACGATCCTTCTCTTAATCTCACCTGCAGAGTCCCTTCTGCCACGTGAGGAAACATATTCACAGGTCCCGGGGGTTAGGACGTGCTCGTCTTTGGGGGGCTGTCATTCTGCCTCCCACGCACTAGCCGTCTCCTCCCCTGTGTTACATGGGAGACCCTGAGCACGGTCAGGCCCACCCCAAGCTTAGAGTCTTAACAAGAGTTTCCCATGGGAACAACTCAAGGCAGAATCAAACAAGCAGTTTCGTAGAGGGACACAAATCATTATGGAAGTTCAGCAGATTCACCAGTGCCCCTCCTCCCAGACATCACTGTCAAGACAAGAACTTATCAGTCACTTAATGATAATAAATGCCATTCACTTGCTCATCATTGCTAATTCTTAGAGAACTGCCCATCAAAACTACAACGAGGTACCACATCACACCGGTCAGAATGGCCATCATTGAGAAGTCTACGAATAATAAGTGCTGGAGAGCGTATGGAGAAAAGGGAACCCTCCTACACTGTTGGTGGGAATGTAAATTGGTGAAGTCGCTGTGGAGAACAGTATGGAGGTTCCTTAAAAAAACTAAAAATAGAGCTACCATGTGATCCAACAATCCCACTCCTGGGCATATACCCAGACAAAACTATAATTTGAAAAGATACATGCACCCCAGTGTTCATAGCAGCACTATTTACAATAGCCAAGACATGGAAACAACCTAAATGTCCATCGACCGATGAATAGATAAAGAAGATGTGGTACATATATGCGATGGAATCCCACTCAGCCATTAAAAAGAATGAAATAATGCTGTTTGCAGCAACATGGATGGACCTAGAGATTATCATACTTAGGGAAGTAAGTCAGACAAAGACAAATATCATAGGACATCACTTATATGTGGAATCTAAAATACAACACACATGAAGCTATCTACAAAACAGAAATAGACTCACAGACGTAGAGAACAGACTTGTGGTTGCCAAGGGGAGGGAAGGATTGGGAGTTTGGAATTAGTATATCCAAACGATTATATATAGGATGGATAAACAATAAGGTCCTATTGTATAGCACAGGGAACTATATTCAACATCCTGTGATAAACCATAATGGAAAAGAATGTGAAAAAGACTATATAGGTATATAATGGAGTCACTTTGCTGTACAGCAGAAATTAACACAACACTGTAAATCAGCTAGACTTCAATAAAATTTTTTAAACAGTGCCATCCACCGATCACTCACCTCGTGCCAGGTACTGGGCTCAGCATTTTATATCTATATTGTCTCGGTTAGTCCTTAAAACAGTTATATGAAGTAAGTACTGTTTGGGGAAGGGGGGAATCAAACTTTTATAATCACAGAAGTAATATTAATTATAGACAAATGAGAAAATATGGCAGACATTCTTACTGATTTGCTTCATTGAAGTCAGCATAGTCTAAGAACACGGTTACAGGAATCAAATGATATAAAATGATTTTCTTTTTATGAATTTATTTATTTATATTTTATTTTTGGCTGTGTTGTGTCCTCATTGCTGCATGCAGGCTTTCTCTAGTTGTGGTGAGCGGGGGCTACTTTTCATTGCAGTGCACGGGCTTCTCATTGTGGTGGCTTCTCTTGTTGTGAAGCACAGGCTCTAGGCGTGTGAGCTTCAGTAGTTGCAGCACGTGGGCTCAGTAGTTGTGGCTCGCGGGCTCCAGAGCACAGGCTCAGTAGTTGTGGTGCACGGGCTTAGTTGCTCCGCAGCATGTGGGATCTTCCTGGACTAGGGATTGAACCCGTGTCCCCTGCATTGGCAGGCAGATTCTTAACCACTGCGCCACCAGGGAAGTCCTAAAATGATTTTCTAATGAAAAGCAACGGTCCCTCTTCTACCCCAGCCTGCTCCGTAGAGGCCATTGGTTTTAGTTGTTTCTTCTCAAAGCTACGCAGGTTCTGTTGTGGTCCCTGTTTCCCAGGTGGGGAGCAGGCTGACAGAGGGTAAGGAATCTGTCCTAGGAACCTGCTGAAGGGTCTGAGCTGGTTGAGGGCCTGGAGTCACTGCTGGGTTTCAGTCCCAGCCCCACCACTTACAAGCTCCGCCCCGAACTGGTTGCTTCACCTCCCTGAGCTCCAGTTTCCTCACCTGTGACATGAGGTTGACTCGGCATTGTCCTCACAGAGCCTCGGCGAGACTCAAATGGAAGAGCACACATAAAGCATTTTCCAGCGTTGGGCACTGATGATTAACCAAACCCACCACTGGTATCCCAAGTCCAACATTCCAGGCTTCTTCCCCTTTATTCATTCTTTCACTGGCATTGGAATATAGCAGTGGACAAAACTGCACTGTCTCTGCCCTCGTGGTCACAGAGAAAGACCTTAATCGGAACAAGCACGTGAATAGGTGTGAAATTACAGCTGCACAAGCACCACTAAGGAGAGGCACAGATGCTGCAGGAGCGTGTGATTAAAGGATTTGACTCAGTGAGGTCAGAGATGGCCATGCAGCAGAAATGATGTTTGAGCTGAGCCCCAAGGACGGGAGGAGATAATAACTAGTTGATAAAGGGTATCACTGACAGGAAACAGCATGTGCAAAGGCCCTGTGGTGGGGAGGGGAAGTGTGGTACATGTAAGGGACTGAAAGAAGGTCTGTGTGGCACTGTGCTGCCCTGCTCTGCTCCCTACCTCAGAGGCCCCCAAAGCCTTCTTGTGCTTTCTGCCTGATCACTCGTTGTGTCTGTAGACACAGGGTAGAATTGGGGTGGAAATTGGGGACAGGACGGCTTCAATGAATGGTGCTGTCTTGCAGACTCAGCCTTGGGGGTCCTGGGATAGGTGGATGTGGCCACCTGACCTGGGTTTCTGCAGGCGCTGGCTCAGGGGCAGGAGGGCTGGGGGTGGAGAGGGTGGGCACCGTCCCCCGGCAGCTGCCCTTGCCATGACATCCTTCCCTGGGGCCAGGTGAAGAAGATGGGTGAGCTGGGGCTCATGGCCGTGGATGTGCCCGAGGAGTTTGGCGGTGCCGGCCTCGATTACCTGGCCTACGCCATTGCTGTGGAGGAGATCAGCCGGGGCTGCGCCTCCACTGGGGTCATCGTGAGCGTCAACAACGTGAGTCTCGCACCTGGGCCCTGGATACACCGGTGGAGGGGAAGCTCCTGTGGGTGGGGGGCAGGCCCTCCGCCACGCAGCCCCACACCCGGGGCACAGCCCGGCCTTGGCTCCCTGCCCCTGACCACCTCTGGACCTGGTCCCTTGCGTGGGCCTCTGCAGAGAGGAGGCCTCGGGGTGGGTACGCGGGCAGGCAGGTGTTCTGGGCTAGAAGGCCTCCGACCGCTCTGCACTGTCCCCCCAGTCCCTCTACTTGGGGCCTATCCTGAAGTTTGGCTCCAAGGAGCAGAAGCAGCAGTGGGTCACTCCTTTCACCAGTGGCGACAGAATTGGCTGCTTTGCCCTCAGTGAACCAGGTATCTCCGTGGGACAGTGGTCTACCCCTGTCCCCTCCCCTCAGAATCGGGGTGACAGATTCAGGCTGGGGCCGGTGCCGAGCTGGGTCAGCTGCTCGTTGCCTCCCGGGGCCGGAGGGCAGGAGTGAGGGCCTGGGGTGGAGCTCTGGCTGCTGGGATCGCCACAGAGCCCGGGCTCGCCTCGGCTGAGCTGGGAGGGAGGGACTTGGGCCCTGGGGTCCCTTTGGCTTGAAGACACCCAGCTGTCACCATCCCCCCCATCCCCCCACCCCAAGAGCTGTGGGAGCCGGTGCGGCCCTCAAGCCTCCTCTCAGGAGCCAGACCCTGATCCCTTGGACCCGGGTCTGGCTCACCAGCCAGGGGTGAGGCTGGGTTCCGGGTGAGTTTGTGGCGGTGCCCTCGGAGGGTGGAGGCAGCGGTGGACTTTGAGTCTGTGTGTGGGGCAGGGAACGGCAGCGACGCGGGGGCCGCCGCCACCACTGCCTGGGCAGACGGTGACTCGTGGGTCCTGAGTGGCACCAAAGCCTGGATCACCAACTCCTGGGAGGCCTCGGCCGCCGTGGTCTTCGCCAGCACGGACAGATCCTTGCAGAACAAGGTGGGGACCCCGAAGGGAGGGTCAGTGAGACGTTCAGAGTTTCTAGATCCAAACCTCCTAGGTCCGATGGAGCTGTTCTTGCTCTGGGGCACGTGCCGCTGTCCCTGTCCCTGTCCCTCCCCGGGCGGCGCCTTCCCCAGAGGAGCCGGCAGAGGGCGTCACCGCGAGGTTCTGAGGGAGTCGGAGGGAAGGGACAGGAGCTGGTGCCTGTGGTGGTTTGTGTGAGGGGCGTGGCCTCGAGCAGGTGAAAAAGTCACTGGGTGCGTCTGGCCTCCAGGGCATCAGTGCCTTCCTGGTTCCCATGCCAACGCCTGGGCTCACGCTAGGGAAGAAGGAAGACAAGCTGGGCATCCGGGCCTCATCCACTGCCAACCTCATCTTCGAGGACTGTCGCATCCCCAAGGACAACCTGCTGGGGGAACCGGGGATGGGCTTCAAGATTGCCATGGTGAGCCCAGCCGCGGGGGTGGGGGCCCTGGGGCCCGGCTGGCTAGCCACTGACAGGGCGGTCCTCACAGCAAACCCTGGACATGGGCCGAGTCGGCATCGCCTCCCAGGCCCTGGGCATCGCCCAGGCTGCCCTCGACTGTGCTGTGAACTACGCCGAGAACCGCACGGCCTTCGGGGCGCCCCTCACCAAGCTGCAGGTCATCCAGGTAATGAGGCACGGTGCGGCGGCGGAGGGAGAGAGTTTTGGCCTTTCTGCTCTACCTCCCAGGTGGCTTTCACCTGCTCCCGTGTCCTCTGCCCTCCTCCCTCCTGTCTTGCAGGGAGAGGGGAGGGAGGGCAAACACCGACTGCCAGGGTGGGACTGGGTTGTTGCAGTTCAAGTTGGCGGACATGGCCCTGGCCCTGGAGAGTGCCCGGCTGCTGACCTGGCGCGCTGCGGTGCTGAAGGATAACAAGAGGCCTTTCATCAAGGTGCCCGTGGGGCTGGGGTCTCCCTGGGCATGGCCCAGAGCTTTGGTGGTGGAGGGACTGAGGGAAACATCTGGGCGGGGTCCCGGTTCCTTGGGCCCGTGGGTTTATTGCTACAAGGGGTGGCTCCCCCAGGCCCACCCTGCTGAGGGCCTTGTGCTGGGCGCTCCGCCCAAGGTCGAGTTTCTGACGCCACCATCCCCCATGGTTAGGAGGCTGCAATGGCCAAGCTGGCTGCATCGGAGGCCGCAACTGCCATCACCCACCAGGTGAGTGCCCCCGGTGCCTGGGCGAGGGAGGTCCCAAGGGTTGAGTAGCAGCGAGTGTGCCGGCTGCCCCTTCCCCGGCTGATCCTGTCCTGTTTTTCCCCTCGAGTGGGGGTCTTCTCCTCCTGAGCCTCTGCTGTCCGCCTTAGGCCATGCAGATCCTGGGTGGCATGGGCTACGTGACAGAGATGCCAGCCGAGCGGCACTACCGTGATGCTCGCATCACTGAGATTTATGAAGGCACCAGTGAGATCCAGAGGCTGGTGATCGCCGGGCACCTGCTCAGGAGCTACCGGAGCTGAACCCTCGGTAGGGCCGACAGTGCCTGCCGGGATCCGGGCTGGCCTGAGGACCAGGGGAAAGTGGGCAGGAGCCACGTGGCCTTCCCCCTGACTCCCTGTCAAGGCCTGTGGGGCAGAACGGGGGTGGGGGGTGGCCTTCCCCCTGACTCCCCGTCAAGGCCTGTGGGGCAGGGCGGCGGGGGCCACGCCTCTTCTTGCCAGGGTCCCCAGACCCAGTCTTCTGGGTGGACCTGCCGCCCTCAGCTCTATCCGCCCCAGACTGAGCTGCCTGGTAGAAAGGAAGAGCCTGGCTGTGGTCTGAGTATGCCCGTCCTCAGCTCAGGTTCTTGGCTTTGTTCCCTCTCCACCACCGACTGTGCCTTATTCTCTTCATCTGGAGGCTGGGCCGTGGGAAGGGAGAAATTACCACTTGGGGACTCCCCAGTTCTCTTCTGTGGGCCGTGGCGCTTAGCAAGAGACCCAGCGTCTACTCTTTCCTCTGAGGTCAGGAGTCTCGAGGAGTGGGGTGCGGTGGGGGCCAGAATGACCAGGCCTCGAAGCAGGTGTTCTCTCAGGCCCTGTAGCCTCGGGGCTGGGTCATTGTGGAAGCTGCCCTTCGTCCCATTAACCTGTTCTTTGTAAAGTATAAATGAGTGCATGTGGGTGGTCTGATTCGTGCTGTGGGATGATCACCTGTGGGAACTAAGTAATAAAGCATACCTGTCCCCTGACCCTCATGTCCTTGCTTGGGTGCTGCTGGGGAGGGAAAGATGGTCCTTTAATCTGCTCTCCTGCAAACCCCCGACTCTGTGTGAGTGAGTGAGTGAGAGAGAGAGAGAGAGAGAGAGAGAGAGAGAGAGAGAGAGAG